ATACCACAATACATAACTTACCGCACCGACCATCCTGACGGTAGAGCACATGCCGGTACTGCAGTCATTGTGCACCAATCCCTCTCCCATCACCTATTCCCACTGCCTACACACGATTTCCTACAATCCACCACAGTCGTAATCAAAACCTTCTCCTTTCCTATTACCGTTGCATCAGCGTATTGCCCTCCAAACCAATCCATCTCCAATATCCAATTTAGTTCCTTCCTCATTTCCTTAGGACATCATTTCCTCTTGGGTGCAGACTTAAACGCCAAGCATCAACAATGGGGTTCAAGAACCACGAATTCTCGTGGTCGAACATTGCTGTCTGTACTCAATTCCCAAAATTTTACCCTTCTTCCACCCAACTCACCTACCTACTGGCCCACTGATCCTAACCGTAATCCCGATATCCTCGATTTCTTTATCCATAATGGTTTAGGTGCTCTCAACCATTCCGTTGCCCGTCTTGACGAGCTTTCCTCAGACCACAGCCCATTAATACTCCAAGTATCACTAGCCCCTATTCCTAAACCCTCTCCTCCGTCCTTCATCAGAGGCCCAGTTAACTGGAAACTCTTTCATCAAATCCTCTCCGATAAAATTGACCTCAGAGTAACCCTGAAAACCCCTGAAGACCTGGACAATGCAGTACATTCCTTCACTACCAAAATTCAAGAAGCAGTCTGGACTGCTTCCTCCCCTGATCACTCCTCAAAAATCCTTAAGAAACATAATTTACCTCAACACCTCCTTGACCTAATTCACATAAAACGCCGTGCCAGATTATTATGGCAACGTACCAGACATCCAGCCGACCGCCACTCCTACAATTATCACTGTAAAAAATTAAAACAAGAATTAGCCACCTTCAGATCCCAATCATTCAATTCCTACCTCACCACACTCTCTGCTCATGATAATTCCCTTTGGAATATCACCAGAAAAATCCTCAAATCCCATCATATTTCCCACCCTCTTCGACGAGATGATGGCTCCTGGGCAGCATCTGATGAAGATAAAGCCGAGGAATTTGGCAAACACCTTTCCTATACTTTCGCTCCTCATCCAGAATCCCATCCCAGCCACACAGTAAAAGTAGAAGAATCCCTCTCAATACCTATCCCACTCTCCTTACCACCTAAAGCTGTTAATCCCTCTGAGGTCAAATATTTTTTACGGAAAATCACTCCTCGCAAATCTCCTGGATATGACCTTCTAACCCCACAGATCCTTCGACAACTTCCATCTAAAGCCATCATATTTCTTACATATATATACAATTGCATCCTACGAACTACCCACTTCCCTCTTTTATGGAAACATTCCACCATCGTCCTCTTCTTGAAACCAGGCAAACCTTCAAACAATACAGCATCCTAGCATCCTATAGACCAATTAGCCTACTCCCAATCCTCTCAAAATTTTTTGAAAAGATCCTACTGAAACGAATCCTACCTATAATTGAATCCTATAACCTTCCTACTCATCAATTCGGATTTCGTTCCCAACATTCCACTGTCCAACAAGGACTCCGAGTTGTTGACCATATATCCTCAACCCTAGAAAGCAAGCAGTATTGCTCGGGTGCATTTCTGGACATAGCGCATGCTTTTGACCGGGTATGGCGCGCCGGATTACTCTTCAAGCTTAAAATCCACCTACCACAGCCCTTATACCTAGTACTCCGATCCTATCTTTCCGACCGCTCCTTCCGAGTTCGCTGTGGCACCGAATTCTCCGACTGTTACTCAATTGAGGCTGGCGTTCCTCAAGGCAGCGTCTTGGGCCCCATCCTTTACATTCTCTTTACCGCTGATATTCCTGTCCATCCCGATACACTCCTGGCAACTTTCGCTGATGACACTGCAATCCTTTCTTCCAACTCAGATCCTGAAACAGCGTCCGCAAACTTACAAAGGAACCTCTCCCTGATTGAACACTGGTGTAAGAAATGGCGCATTAAGGTAAACGAATCTAAATGTAAACACATTACCTTCACCCTTCGGCGTAATACCTGCCCACCAGTTTATTTTAACTCCATCCAGCTTCCTTTCTCAGATACAGTCTGGTATCTTGGCTTTCTCTTAGACAGACGACTAACATGGAATCCACATACTAGACTTAAAAGACAGGAACTTAACAGACGATATGGCCAGCTATATAGATTACTGAATAGAAAATCTAAACTTTCTGGTGAAAACAAATTACTGATCTACAAGACAATACTGAAACCCATCTGGACTTACGGACTAGAACTATGGGGAACAGCCAAATTTTCTAACATCAAACGCATTCAATCCTTTCAGTCTAAAGTCCTCCGTACAATAGTCAATGCTCCCTTCTATGTAACCAATAAAACCCTACAACATGACCTTAATATCCCATTTATTCTTGATCTTATCCCAGCCAAATTTTCCAAATTTCACCAGAACCTTTCTCATCACCAAAATCCCGTTGTACAATCCCTATCAAGCACCACCCATCCCTACAATCCCCTTCGTAGGTTAAAGCGGCAGTGGCCACGAGACCTTTTGTAAATATGTATATTTTGGAGTTCTAGCAATGGCCAGATTCTCCACTCAAGTCATGAGTGTCTGTGGCTGTAGCGCTCTTACTCATCCTCCGCTGGTTTAAAATACCAGTGAAGTGGTTGAGGGAGAAGCGTAGGGATCTCCTAAGCCTCCCTTTTCCCTCCACATGTGGAGGGGACAGGATTGGTTCGGAGATCACCTGGCAAATTGTAAATAATGTATATAGGTATGTTTTATATAAGGTGTTTGTTTTACTTTTATTTCTATTTTTATTTACTTATGTGTATATATATTTTTTTTTTCTTTACTCTTTGTTCTTTTTTCTTATTCTTTTGTTATTACTTTATTTATTTATATTTTTGTATATACGGTATGAATGCAATCTCTGAACTCTATTATAAGTGTCCTTAAACTGTGACAAATTGTAATATTTCTGAATAAAGTGTTTTAATAATAAAAACATAATATATGTCTGACATTTCAATCGCTGATTTCAAAAATATTAGCCTAGATGCTTCAGGATCGAAACTGTAGTAATATTGCAAAAAAAATTGGCTGAAGTAAACAAGGATGGAGACATGAACAAAAAAATAAAAATACATCCAGAAAATTAAACAATATAAAATCTTACATAAAAATTAGTAATCAACCTTAATAATTTAGTTTACATGTTTTGTAAAAAATTAAGTCCAACAAATTATGATTGGTAACACTGTACAAGCGACACTTCAGTTTGATAGTGGGCCAAGATCACATTACCAGGCCATAAATGGGATTCAGGTATAGCCAATGATTGACGTGTTCACAACATAACCTTCCTCTAGTTAGCGGATCACAACTTCGGCAAACTCCCAACTGGTCCTTTTCAGTTATAATCGGGGCGTTAATTAGCTTTAGTTACATCACTGCTTTCGAATTCCGCTTGCTGTGCTCGCTCTAAAGGAATAAACAACGTAAAAAGGCATTTTTGTCACTTTCATCTACTTTCGGTGACACTCGGCCATTCTCGGGATTTCATTAATGGTTTGATCTTGTATGAGATCGTGTGCCACCCATTAAAGTGGAGTTACACTTGTACATTAGTGACATATGATTTTAACGAACTGTCGTAACCTGTGCGATATTTTACTATAAATGACTGCAGTTTTGAAATGAGCTTTCTAAAAGAGAACAAAAATTGTGCAATAAAAGTTGTAGTAACCTTGTTTTTGGGTGATTTACTCAATTTCATATTTTGTAAATTATATTCTGTGATTTTCCAAATATCCAAGATAATTTCATAAAGTCATGAGACAAGTTTACCAGTGAACGATCTATTGGCAATGCCATCTTATGCAGAATATAATTTATTTTTGTTTAAAGGGGACCTTACACGGTCAATCGGAATTGCACTAATGAAGTTCCGAATTGTCGTGTAAGGTAGTGAATGAAGTACTGATGGTGGTGCGCTGCGGATTTCCGAACGTCAAAGGTTCATTCACGAGAAGTGGATGGGGGACTGAGGTAAAAGTAGTGGGGAGACTAACCATACTGCTGGATAGGTTAGGTTACTTAGGCCTCACAACCATTATAAATTTCTGATTTTCATTATATGTAAATAGTTAAATAATTTTTCATATCCCTTGTTTATAATTTTAAACCATCTTCAACTATTTCTTTTAAATAGTCAAGTGGGCAACAAATTAAAAAAAAAATGAGGAAACTTCACAATTTACTTTAAGAAAAATAAAAACTTTAACGTTGTGTATATTTATCAGTTCGTTTCCCATTTTCCTCAACAAATTTATTATTTTCGCAATACCTTTCCTTAATTTTTGTAAGTAGTAGACTTATATTTTACTAACTTTTGTCAAAACTATTTTCTATAAGACTAACCTTCTATGAGACTACTACTAGATAGGTTAGTTTACCTAGGTCTCGTTATTAAGTAAATAGTTGTTTATATCCCTAGTGTATTTTATTATTAACCATTTTCAACTATTTTTTCTTTAAATAGTCAAGTAGGCAATAAATTGGAGAGAAAAAGAAGTGGAAACTTCACAATTTACTTATAGAAAAAAAAATCTTTAACTGTTGCGTTTATTTGCCATTAATTTTTCCATTTTTCTTAACAAATTGATTATTTTCGAAATACTTTTCATAGATTTTTGTATGTAGTTGACTTATATTTTGGACTAACTTTGGTCTAAACGATTTTCAGGCACTAGGAAGTAATTATTATATCTCCGTTTTTCTCTTTCTCTTTCCATATCTATGCTGTTTCTTTGTTTACAACTGCGCTAAATTAGTCAGCAACGATCTAACCTAAATCAGCAACGATAAGTAATGATCAGTAATGATTGAACGTGTAAGGGTCTTCATGATCACAGCGATAGCGGGTAATCTTGGCACTTCTTGTGACGTTCATTCATGAATTACCGTGTAGGGTCCCCTTAAGAGTGTACTAGGAAATCAGAGTAAGAAGGTAATTGTACAGGTTAGCTATATAATCTTACTATAACGATAGTACATGTTCAACATATGAATACGCAAGACCAGTTAACAAGTTTGAATATACTATTCTATTTTATAATTTTAGGTTCCTGTTGACTTTCATAGGTGATAAGGTTGCTTTATTTTAAGGCAATGACACGATGGTTCGAGTTGAAATGATTACACCTGTTTTTTGTTTTCAATTACCGGTAGTTTACTAACCTATCGTTCAATGTACTTGAAAATGTTTCGTTTTAGTTTCTATAAATAATGTAACACACAAGCTTCAGGAGGACTGAACTCGGCGCTTCATTGTGTAGGAGGTAAGAAGTACAGTTTTTTTAAGTATGATGAATCTAGAAGACTTCCTTGTATATCGTATAATCAGAATTTTATAGATGAAACGCATTTGGTTTCTAGAATAGGTAATGTAGTATTATTAAAATAATTAAGAACCAATCTATGTATTGTTATATATATATATATATATATGTGTGTAATTCGGTTTTAATATTATCATATTGGCACTTTAGGAGTTTAGAGTAAGGATATATTCAAACATGAATTCACTCAGAGGTAACAAAAATTTTACTTTTTCATTTAGCATTTCCATCAAAATTTACCATTACCAAAATATAGGTTGCTTTATTTTTTCACGCGCGTTTATTTTCTGAACAAGAATAAAAAAAAGTTGACGAATGAAAAACTACTATCATTGAATTAAAAATGATAGAACTAAGATTAATCACAACTTACCCAATAATTTTTGTTGTTGTTAGATTAGGGAACATTTTTGTACTCTATTTGTGTGATATGTTATTTAATCTAAAGGATTTTTTTTCTTTAGGGTATGGTGGTGTAAAATTTTAACAATATGGAGAGCTGTTTAATCACTATTTAACTAAGTATGTGCAACCTTATAATATTTTTTTTTTTTACAATATTCATAACGTAATCAAATGTATTATATGACGATTTAGTTTAGGATTCGTATCCACATTATATCTTCATCTCTAATCCATTTGTGATTGATAGAGACAAGTAGCGCCATATTGAATAGAATTTTAAAATAACTATCTAAGTCCCTCAAAGATATACATTTTAATGAAAAAACACGTGAAGGTGGAAAAGATAGAAGTACATTTTCCGACAGTAGATAAAAAATGTTTGCACGAGTATAGTAAAGATAATAAAATCCGGCTATTAAACTTTGTCGTTTCGAAAAACTAAATATTGAAAGCACTATGTTTAAACAAAGGGATATTCACAAATGCACTTGGACATCAACAGACTTGCAATCGCGAAATCGGATCGATCATGTCTTAATAAAACCTGAGTGAAAAAATAGAGCAGTAGACGTAGAAACTAATCCAAAATAATGTAAGATACATTTATTATTTATTTATTTATATATTCCACCCTCCCATGCCACTATGGCAATACGGTTGTTTGCGATAGTGCGTTATTAGGCATGAATGCTTAATAACAAACTACTACTAGTTAACATGATGTGAAGTTCTCCGGTTCTTTCTTCTTCTTGTTTCGGCCTAGCTTCCAGAATCTGGAGGTCTTCCTGGCGCTTGTCCTGTTCTTGATATGGAAGTGAGCGGGCCCAACCGCCGTCTTCCATCCATGTATGAAATCCTTAAACCGCGGGAAATATTCCTCGCTGACTAACTGAGAAAACTCATTTTCATTGAGAATATAGATTCTCTCGGCTCTTGTCATAGTCGCTCTTAAAGTTTCAAATGCGGCGAAGGTCGTGACCACCTGCTCTAAAGTTTCCGGAACACTACAGATTGGGCATAGAGGATCTACATCGATGTCCTGACCGTGAAGTTTAGCTCGAAATCCACCATGCCCTGTGAGGAACTGGGAAATCCAGTAGTCCGGGAGAAACCACTTTGCCTGAAGCCTTGACTGTACCATGGGAAAGTACTTCCTCAATGTACTTACTTTAGGTGTTGCTACCCACCGCCGGTTCCATGCTTCAATTGTATCCTCCCGGAGTATCTTCTTCTATTAGGTGATTCCATAATCCTCACCTGTAGATTGTCCGAAAGTACTGTAGAGCTTTCCATCTTATAAGAATATTTTGTCACTTCTTCCAGTAGGAGGAGGTCGAGAGGCACCACCCCCGATAGTACCTGCACCGCTTCATGCGAAGTTGTCCTGTATGCTCTGGTGACCCGAAGCAGAGCTGTCCTCTGAGTCGAGGCTAGCTTTTTTATTTGTCGTAGTGTGAGGTTACGGAACCAGAAGGGAGACGCATACCTAAGGATAGCCTCCACAACACCTTTATATATCGTGATTTTGGCTGGATACCAAAAGCCCCAGAATGTACCTCCCAGGCGAGTTAGACCGTTCATTGCTAGGCCACCCTACCTGCCAGATATTCCAATTGAGGTGTCACATTTAGGCCTAAACCTAACCTAACTCCTAGGTAGGTTACCACCTGACTTGGACGTATCCTCTGGCCTTCTATGTTCATCGTTATAGGGTGTGCCCTGTCAGTCTTGTCCTTGAGGAAAATGGCTTGAGTTTTGGCAGCAGCCATCCTCATTTTCTTCCCCTCACACCACCTCGCGACCAGACCAGCGCATCGCTCTGCTTCTGTCAAGACAGAAGCGGAGCGATGCGCTCAATTCATTCAAAGTCAACGACTCCAGTTCTGCTGTTTGAGGCCACCACAGCAGCTAGGTCATCAACATAGGCAGTAGCAGGGAACCGCTCTTCCTCTAACACTCCCAGAAATTCATCGAAGACAAGATCCACAGAGCAGGGCCAAGGATTGATCCCTGAGGGCATCCCCTCTCTATGGAAGCTTCTACTTCATAATGATTCCTTCTAATCTTGACACGCCTGTCCTGAAGGTAGCTTCTTACAAGTGAATATAAATTACTGGGAGCATCGTATTTCTGCAGCTGGAGCACGCTAGTCTACCATACACTGTCGAAGGCGGAAGATATATCAAAAAGTAATAACATAACATAACGTTTCGCCCTCTCTTCAACATCTTGGCGCACTCTCAGCAGAGCATCAGCGGTCCCACTGCCTTTAGTTGAACTGTATTGCCGTGGATGGCTTGATCTGTCGAAACCAGGGCGTAAGCTTGACATCATGAGGTTATCCAGGGCCTTGCTCATCACAGGGAGGAGACATATAGTCTATATGAGTTAGGGAGTTGCTTATCCCTATTTCCTCCCTTGTAGAGGAGTCTCAAATCAGCAATCTTCCAGATTTGTGGGAAGTATCCCGTATCCAGACACTCATTGAAGAATCTTAAAATATGGTATTCAATATATGAAATACTGTTCCATAAGATTGCCGCGTCTATTGCATCAAGACCTGGAGAAGGATTAATTTTCTGCCTATCCACGGCAATACGAAGATAGTGAATGTCTCATGGTGGGCATAAATCTGATTCGGTCGGATACACCGTGGTACCTCTCACAAAGATACTGGCTGTCTCTTCCAGGGTGGTTGCCTGAGTATCTTGGTATTTCAAAGATGCAAAGTCTGCAGTAGGGTCAGCTTACCAATTATACGGAATACCCCAAAGATTCTTCGAGGACTCTTCGACGATGAACTCGTCCCAGGACTTCCGTTTTTGTGAGCGAACCTCGTTTCGGTATGCCCTGGATTTAGATTTATACTCATTCCGAAGTGCAATGCACCTCTGATATGACCGGCGGGTCTTGTTGAGGTCTCTCTTTAGATCAGTTAAGGCTTGCGTCCACCATGGGACAGGTCGAGCTGTTGCTTTAAGGTGCTTCAGGGAGTTTTCGGCAGCGTCTCTAATGATATTTGTGACCCTAGATAGCTTGTAATCCAGGTCATTAGCTACGTCCATCTACATCACATCCCATTCTTCATCTACAATTAATCCTTCCAGACAGCACCTGGAGACACTCCAGTCACTTACTTTCGTAACAAAACCTTTATCAATACCGTGGGAATATCCTGGCTTATCTACCAGGTCGATTGCTATCGCAATGTGCTCGAAACTGGTTTCAGAGTCCAATCTGTGATGTACCTCGTAAGCACAGGTGTGACGATCGTGACATCAATCCAACTCTGCCCCATGACTCCAGAAAAGGAAGGGATAGCAGAGGGTTCATTCATCACGACAAGGTGATTCCTTGCTATGAAATCTCCTATTTTTGCGCCTCGCCTATCAGTAATATTGGACCCTCAGACCGTGTTCCAGGAGTAGGAATCTGAGCAGACGATTGCATTCCTCATCTCTCTAATGATCGTTTCCATAGCGGATATGCTTTCATCAATATCATCACTGGCAGGCAGGTATACCGGCATAAGTGTGAAGGTAAACTTACCCCACCTAACATAGCATGATGCATAATCCGCCATGGTGTACTGCCTCAGATCCATCACGTAGAGGTTAGGATTATTGATCACTATTGCAGCCCAGGGCCTCCTCTCTCCACTGCTCAGGGCTATAACCCTCGACGTGAGGCCCAAACCCGGTGACCTTGTTCCCACGGCAGGTCGGTTCCTGGACCGCCATTACGTCATAGCGTTTAGAAAGAGCACGAAGCTCATCAGCCACACCGCGTCGGCGGCCCATGTTTAGCTGGAGGATAGTGATTTTAGTCATAAAACGTTCTTCTCACTACCTCTTGAGACTTTTTTATATGCACCGGACAGTCCCGACTTCCTGCCTGATTCTTAGCTTTGCTACTTGGGATACTTTCCCTCACGCAGTTTACACAGATCGAGGTTTTTTTATTTATTTTTTCCAGGACAATCATTAGCTATGTGGCCAGATGGAGAGCACCACTTGCAAATCATACCATTAGCCTCGCATGTGGCCCTAGTATGCTTGGCATCGAAGACATAGAGAAGCATCAGGGTAATCAGTGAATTTTAATACCCACCAATCCCCAGCTATTGTTTCCTCCTTCAGAAGGCTATACCTAACTTCTGGGTTCACTACAATCACCCAATTATTCGTGATCTGGTTTTTGGCCATTGTGGAAAACAAAATATGGCCCGATTTGTTCTCCGGTTAAGGAACTGCTTTTGCAGCTAACTTCCCCCACATTACTCTTTCTAGATTTTCAGTTGTCCATGATTGTGGAACACCTTTAACTTCCAACTTAGGTTTCCTCTACTGAGCTAGTCTTGCCTCGATCCCTGCTTCTTTTAGTTTCTGCCAATCAAGTAATTTTTTGACATGGCATCTTCCTCCACACAAATTAAAACGGAACCAGCTTTGGTTGCTCGTACAATTCTGGCATTTATTCCAAGATCTGTTGGAGGAGGCAAATCATTGATGACCTCAATTGCTGTCTTTCCCCCGCCAACTATGGTCAGACAAGTTGGTTTTGGAGCATCCGGTGCTTTTAATGGCAGAGTTTTAACAACATCTGCCATACTCGTCTTCTTTTTAGTTGATGCCTCAGATGATTTTTTTAGCTGTACATTCTATTTAGTTCCACACTCCTTGGCCACAACAGAAGACTTTTTCTTCTTCCGCTTTCTCTTAACAATGAAGAAGGTTTCAGTATCTGTGATGCCTTTCTGGATTAACTATCAACGAAAATATAGAGAATGAAATTAGTAATGGAACTGGGCAGATAATTACATATGGCGAGACAAAAGATAATTGTGTTTGGTATTTACATTAAGGAAATTTCACTACAATTTAATTCAGTGTTCTTAACCTGAGATGATACATGAAATAATTGGAAAAATGAATATTAACAACTTAAATTCATAAACATACAAAAAAAAAATAGAAAAAATAGCGTACTCTTAAAAAAATAAATTAGAGATTTAAAAATAATTCATGTGGCTAAAGGCAACTAAAAGTGGCAAACTAACTATTTTTAAATCACTAAAATTAATTCAATAAAGGTATAGTTTGTGTCAGTAATTAACCTTTAGTCAAGGTGGGCATAGTGACTTTGATAAGATTGTAACAATCCATAACCTACTGAGCTGCTAGTCTTTAGTTTATCATCTACCTGGCTGCTAACCAGCGTGTTTGTTTATGCGTTGCTAACCAGTTTGTTTGTTCATGCGTTGCTATTAGTGACAATAGTTACTTATTGACATTATACAGGTACATATATATTTTTATAAATAAATATATGTTTTCATCATTGTCTTATTCATTCTCATCGTTTACATCTCTAATATATAAAGATTTGATTGAATACAACAATATTGTATACATAAAATCAAGTTATAGTTATGAAGATATATTAAAATTCATTTAAGATAAAATATAGATAAAACATAAATAGATAAACATAAACGAAAAAACAACAATAAGAACGAAAATAACAACAAAAATAACACGAAAACTAACTGCAATCACTTGAGAACGTAATAGAACACTTTGAGCTGTCTGCCACAATCCTAATTATATCTCTTTCTTTCTATCTATATATAACGTAAGATACATGTAAAAAGGTAACAAATCGCATAATTGTTTATGGACCATAACAAATTGAATTAGGGATGAAAATAACAATTTCCTAATCGGTTCCCTAGACTTGTTAAGTAATTTTAAGAAACACTCTGACAATATTTTAAATTCTGGAAATAATAATCTGGATCCTCCCTCCGAGTACCGAGAAAAGAGGAAGTTGAAATATCTATCAGAATGGAAAGTGTTCGCATATGCATCACTGTATTTTAAAATATAATTAGAATAACAACATAATGGATTATTAGTAACTTGATTGGAAATTATTTTTAACTAAATTTCATACCATCAGGTATTCGTAGGAAAAAAGATGATTCTCTCACGGTTTCGAGGAAGATAAGGGACATTTCATTTATCTTGAGAGATTAATTCGGAATACACTACTCCCTCCCATACCTTTTCCGATTTCCTCAAATTAATATAATGGCAATAATGAGCACACTAAAACAATTTCTACTAATAATAAGAATATCGATTCTTAAATATCGATTCGAAACGCTATTGCTTGTAATCTACGTAACATTTTGACTAATGCCTTGAAACTGAAATGTTGACAAATTTGCATTGGTAGCATTTGTTTTCATTTCTTAAATAATAAGTAGGGAAAAGTTAGAAGGGTGCGAAGAGTATTGTAGAGATAGGAGCAGAATCACTCCCACCCTTCTTCTCAGACTGAGAACGGGACTCATATTTCTATATGGCAACGTATGAGATTGAATGTTTTTCCGAATGAGAAAAGTGTTTCCACTCCAAACGGGAAGTTATACTGCCCGAGATTTCTTCATTGTTGTTTTATTTTTCTGCTTTGTGCTCGAAAAATTTATTTTGTTTCAATATATTTGTTCTCTAAACTTTTAATTAATCCATAGAGGCGGTAGTAAGCGCGAGACTAAATTAAGAGGCATTCCAATTATCTTATTAAATTAGGACATTTCTATTAGTATATTTAATTAATATTGATACCAATAATTATTGATTTTTAGGACAATATGTTAATAAGAGAGTATCGAATCCCTCTACCTTTGACACTGGATGAATATAAAATTGGGCAGCTGTTCAGTGTAGCCGAGTTAAGCAGAATGGAAACGAAAAATGGAGAAGGAGTCGAGTTTCTAACGAACGAACCGTTCTCTGGTCATCCATTGTTCGACAATAGGTTCGATTCTGGAACTCACACGTACAAGATATACCGATTAACAAGTAAGTTTCCCTCTTTCATCAGACTTCTCTTCGACGGAAACACCATGGACGTACACGAGGAGTCTTGGAACGCTTTCCCTTATTGTAGAACCGTAGTCACCAATCCGGGTTACATGAAGAATAATTTCTCCATCATTGTAGAATCGATGCATGAAAACGGCAGAGCCGAGAACGATAATGCGCATTTACTAAATCCTGAGGAACTGGAGAAAAGAACTGTCGTGACTGTCGACATTGGCAATGATCCTTGCACGAAGTGCGACTATGACAAGGAAAATGATCCTTCAAGATTTGTTTCCCTTAAAACCGAAAGGGGTCCGCTCAAAGACGACTGGATCTCCACTGTCAATCCTATAATGACTTGTTATAAGCTGGTTAGAGCTGAATTCAAGTGGTTCGGTTTGCAAAATAGGGTGGAAAATTACATTCTTGACACAGAACAGAAGTTGTTCTTGAGGTTTCACCGTTATCTGTTCTGTTGGATTGACCGATGGTTCGGCCTCGATATGGATGATATCTGTCAAATGGAAGAGGAGATAAGAGTAAAGCTGAGTATTCAGATGCGAAATCAGCGTATCGTTAAAAATGAATCTCTTCATGGAATTTTATCAGAAATATGAGTCCCCAAAGTGGTATTTATATTGAAATAAATCTATAAATTAATTGTTTTTTACTGTCATGCCAGTTTAATTTAGTGTTATTTTCGTACGATTATATAAATTTAAAATTTTCCTTTTCCATTTTAGTTTATATAAGTTTTCTTTTATTTTTAAATCACTTATTTGTGATTTAATCTTTAGAGTTTCATTATATTACCGTTTTTATTTACAGACAATTTCATAAGTATAAATTCCTTTATTTGTTCTTCTATCTCACTTATCTTTTCTTCCTCTACTCGTTAATAACTTTAAAAATCATTATAATTTCAGTTATTCACAAATATTTACTTAAGATTGTTTGTAGTACAGTGATTGTTTATATAGTATTTTTACAGGGGAATCACATAGGTATAAATGTAAAAAAGTCTAAATATGAATATCAGAAAGAAGAGTTGCGTGGAGACGGACTCTAGATGGACTAAGAACTTAAAAGGGAGCATTGACAAAAGACATGGCTTCCTTATCGATCTACAGGATTGAATAAAACCTAACTTAAACACCATTGAAATAAATAAAATAATATGAAATGTTAAAAAAAAAACGACAAGAAGAAAATGCAGCAGTTAAATTATAATATTTTATATCTATTATAATTCTTCAGGTAAGTATTAATAAAACATTTGAGTCACTTTTTACGTTTTACAAAAAAGAATAAGAAGAAAATGTGGCTTTAGTGATGGAGATCACTAAATAATTTTAAGTTTATATACAATAAATAATAATAAGACAACTTAAAGATACTCAAACAAAATAAAAGTACCACGGTCTTACCTACAGTCGCGGTCATAGAGTTTATTAGATTTTATTTTCTTTATCAGATTGCTGGTATCTGCAAGATCTCCGGATATTTCTTTGCCAGTTTTGAGATTACATTCTAAAAATAATCACACCATTAAGCAAACAAATATTTGTTTGGTTTTCCTCCTCCCAGTTTCTTTCTTCAAAACTATGATTATAGTCATAATTACCGTTGATTTGTAATGCCCTATCCTCGTTACTATTTCCCGTAAAAAATCCTTTACTTCATGTAACGTCACAATTTTAATATTTTCTGACGAGGACAGTTTTTGAAGCAGGGCATAATTACAGCGTTGATCCTGGTATTAGTAAAAACTGAACTGAGAAACATGGTTAAAAATTGAACTTTGTCAAATCGACGTGAAATTCTTTTTGATTTGATTACTTAATCACTACAATCCAGATTCTGAGAAGGGATATTTCTTACCTTATCGGATACAATAAATTGAACATTAATGAATATATAAGCGGCTGTTAAAAAAACATATAGAAATAAAAAAATAACTAGGTTGTGTGCTTCAGACCACACGATAGAATTGAAACCATCAACAAGGCAAGATTAATAATATGAAATATAAATTATAAATAATTTCCCATTATACAGAGGATGAAATGCTGAACATTTCCATTGCTAACAGTATGCAGGTCCGATTTTTACTTTCTGAAATATTTTAATCCATATGTTCAACTAAACGTTTTTTTCTTTTTTTCAACTATGCCTCTCTTTACCGACTTCCGCCATCAGAGATCTTGCAGCCCAGTACAATTCCGACTTGGAGGACGTGGCATCTCTTATGTTTATCAAGCGCGAGCATACACCTAAATCCGCTGCATCCATGTGTGCTCCCGAATTACATAGGCTGCAATGTAGTCGTGGCCTCTTATCATCCGGAACTCTGCCACAGCCTCCTTTCTCGGCAGGTTCATGGGAACTCGATCCGCTTCATTAAACAAATTTCTCTACTGCTTTTCAGCAATACTGCTCTTCCCGGAATCCAGTAATATTGCCTAACTCGTCTAATTTATTTATTTTTTAGCTCTCTGATATGATATTGCATTTTATGGCTGGTTGAATGTGGATCTCCCCTTGGCGAGTTTATCAGCCATTTCGTTTCCATGAAGACCACCGTGACTTGGCATCTACTGAAAGAATACCTCTGTTCCTCGAAGAAGTAGCTCTTCTATGATCTTTTGGCACTTCAGAATATCCAGATCAAAAGAGTCAGGATTAACTAAACTCGTTATCATTTGATTTTCGACACTTTTTTTTTTCTTATCGCCATCCTACCGCTGCGTTGCGTTAAGATACAATTTTAAATTATAGCCTATTACAGAGGGGGTGAACCATTTCCTCGCTTACAGTATGCAGGCCCGATTTTTAGTTTCTAAGATGTTTTAATCCATATGTAAAAACATTTTAGTTAGTCGACTCTAGCCGACTTAACCCGAGCGGTAACATTCGAAAATCTGACGAATCAATCTAATCCACTCTCCAAAAAAAAAGTGCAAAGCGCGTCTAAAGAAGTTTTCTCTTCAAAAATATATAGGCGGGTCTGTTGTATCAATCATTATCACTAAGGAAATGAATTTAATTTAATTCACGTCATCGATACTAGGCTAATTGGAGAACTCATACCAAAATAAAATATTCATTATATTCTTATAACACGGTGTTAGATGAAAGGGAGAGCTACAAGTAGACTAGAGAGATCCTACAAACCCCTTTGATCCGATGGAGTTCTTTTCCAGGGAACTCTTAATGACCATGCCGCCTCTCCAATTAGCGGACCCAGGCCCGGGTAATGAGCAGCCACTTGTGCATGCCTCCGCATCTCTTCATAGTTCGCTCCCTCGAGATGTGCCTTCTCATCCTGTATGCGCCGGGTCGAAATGTCTACGTAATCCAAGATAAACTTTTTGAGCATCATTTTTACTTAAGCATCTCCAGTTACTTTTAGTATAATAACAGTTATTATTTAGAAATCATATATCATAAAAGAATAAAAGTTTTACAAAACATTAATATTAAATAATAAAGCACAAAATAAGTCAACTTTGAATGATAAATGGGGCAATAGTAACAGGAAGTCTAGAAAAGAGGAAACAGTCCTGTTCCGCCTCCGAAGTGGTCACTGTAAATTTTCACATTCGGCTACCTATCTGTATCCTATGTGGTTCCCATAGAACAGTGAACCACATAGTCATGGACTGTAACACTATGCAGCCACAAGGAAGAACCTCAACATGCACAGAACTGTTCAGGAAATATTACAAGATGCGGAGAGAGATGCTGAAGTCCTGATGAGTTTTCTTATGAAAACAATGAAATTCTACAATAGAATATAAAAAAATTGAGTGAAGAAAGAATTTGCAATGATCCTATTGGAATACAATATTAATTGTATTATTTTTATTATTATCAGAAGGTCTAATGTTCTTCATTGCCTATTGTATTTTACGAAATGCGACGCCTTTGGGAATATTTCCTTTTTCTGTATAGAGGGAATATAGGGAATATATTCCTTCCTTTGATAATTATTTTGATACCTTTTCTTTGTAATGAAACAATTTTACTTAAATTTTTTAAATTCCATACTCAGTAAGTTTATTATTCAGGTTATAATCTCATAAAGTGAAAATAATTTATTAAATCAAGTGTATTTGAGCAATTAGTTACAGTTCTAAATGATAAAGTAACAAAAAAGCAACTGGCGATACTTAAGTAAAGGAGACTCCATTTTAAATCAAACCAACGTTTATGGATTGTCAATACGTAGGATATAGATTTTTGGTTAACCATGTACAGCTACCCAGAAAACGTTAAAAATATTTACTACACAGAATAGGTGTGCTGGTTACAGTTTTTTTTACTTTTTATCTACTAGATAGATAACGAAAAATTAAATTCTCCAATAGTCCAACAATCCACGCCACTGTTTTTTGCTTGATTGATGTTCGTTTAGCCGAACTGATGATCTGGAATAGCTGTAAATATTCCAAATGAATTTCGGCTATGAGGAAGAATTCGAATAATTTAGAAAATAAAGAACAGCCTTCATCCTTCTGAAATAGTAGGGCTTAAGGATGTCTGACGGAGTTGTGCCAATAATGTGTGTGATTTATGTAATTTTTTAATTTGAAAGGCTTTAATATCCCAAAATATTTGTCTGGCGAGTAATTCTTGTATGAGTTTTTTAAATTTATTGAATATTACATCATTCTGTCTCTTGGACATTAGTTATAGTGAGGTAAGATCATATTCACACTGTATGTACAGAAAAATATAAAATAAACAGAAGTAAAATAACAAATAAATAATAATCAAGACGCATATAAAATTTAAAAAAAAATTAAAAATAAGGAAACTAAAAAAAACACACTATTTATTCGTTAGAATTTTTCATTAAATATTTCACGTGCTGTTTTTAATGTATTAAATTTGATTATATTGAAATTGATTAAAGTGCCGTTTTATTATACAAGAAATTGAATATTGTGGAGTCTAAAGCCGTCCTGATAATCTGGCAGGCAAAATTTTACTTCAAACCAAATGATGAGATTCTCCATATCCACCAGTCTAACTTTCTACAACTTACATGGTAACAATAAAAAACAAATTGTTAGTTTCCGGGCTCTAAAGTTCTTGTTTGAGTGTATTTATAGAGGTACATGACTTACTTCTTTGCCAATGATCTTCAAAAACGTCTACGTTTTTAAGAATTTATGACGTTTTTTATACAATTTTAGTCTAATACATCACTGAGAAATCGTTCATGTCCAAGAATATCAAGATCCATATAGAATATTGTGGCGGGCGAGGTGAAATTTTTGGGAGTTTTTATTCTGATTTCCGGCTAATCCGTTAATCCTAAAAATGTATACATTTGTTAGACTCGGGAAGTTGAATCGAATGACACCTTGAACGGGAAAATCGGACAAAGTTGAAAAATGAGTGTGTTTTACCCGTTGTATGCGACAATGAGTTTCAGATGTTCGGTATTCTGGATTTTTCCCGTTGAGTTGTGATAATTTTTTCGATCAGTTGAAAAGTACTACTTTTAAATTTGGCTCACGAAAGAGTAGGTTAGGATGGGAATCAAAGTAAGTAATTGCGTAACCGGAATCTTTAGACAAATTACTAAAGAATTCATAACTTTGGTTCTACTCAATATTTTGTTTTCATTTAAAGCCTTTATTTTAATTCATGCAAATCTAAATGTAATGTCAAAATTT